ATAGCCACAACAATGTTTATAGCAGTACAATTTATCTGTCAATAGATGAATGGATTAACCTGTGGTATATATACACAACAGCCATAAAGAAGAATGAAATTATGGCAGAAATTATGGGCAACATCATAGGAAGTGAAATAAGCCAGAATCAGAAAGTCAAGGGTTGAATAGTTTCTCATATGCAGAAGCTAGAATAAAGTAAGATGGTGGAAAGAGGGGTAGGGGTCAGCTATCATAAAGATAGGGAAGATAAGTGGAATAGGAGATGGAGAGGGAGAGAAAAGGGATGAGAAAGGTGAAGAAATGCAGAAATTGGTAGTATGGGCATTTTGAAAATATTAATTTTGCCTGTCCAAGAATGTGGGAGGCTTTCCATCTTCAAAGGTCTTCTTCAATTTCTTTCTTCAGTGTTTTGTAGTTTTAATGAAGCTTATCATACATTTTTAAATTGTAAACTCTTTACTTACTAATTTAAACAAACTGGTAGTAAGCTTGCCAACACTTCAAAGCCTTGGGTTTAAAACTTTTGCCTTTACTGAACAATACTGATGTATGTAGCTTGTATCATACAAGGGAAAGGAAAAGATGTTGCTAACAAGATCATAAACCAAAGTTTTCTCCTATCATTGATTTTAAGACTCATTCCCATTTCAAGATTGTTAATACCTATTGGGATTATTGCAGGAGGGTATATTTTAGAATCAACGAAGTATAACATCCTTTTTATTAATTAAATATAGTGGCCCAAACCTTCATCTAAATACCTATGTTTTCAAAAATCAATTTGGATTTTCTTGAATTCATACTGGCTTTCTTCCAGGGACCTCAAACCAGGGAAAGGTATGCCATTCTTTAGCAAGTCTTTAGCAAGACTTCCGCAAGACTTCCTTTAAGTCTTCTATTGTAGAAAACAGACTAAAGTAATATGAAAAGCTGAAGCCTACTTGGGGCCACCACATACTCAGGACCCAGCTCTATGAAAGGTGAAGCCTACTCGGAGCTACCACATACCCAGGATACAGTGCTAAGCCTGCTCTCTACACTTACAGCCCTAAGGGTAAGTGAGAGTCCACTAGTTGTGTGCAAATGCAGGAAGTTAAGAGGTACCCACACTAACTGTAATCTCATTATCACTCTAGCATTAACTGAATTTCTCAGGAAATTCAGTTCATTATGAACAGACACACCGATCTGTACCCCCCTTAAAGACTATTTAATACAATCTTTATTTGTAGATGTGCTTTTTAAAAAAATATTTATTTTTTAGTTTTAGGTGGACACTATATTTTATTTTTATGTTGTGCTGAGGATCGAACCCAGCGCCCCGCGCATGCCAGGAGAACACGCTACTGCTTGAGCCACATCCCCAGCCCTGTAGATGTGCTTTTAATAGGAAAAAAAAATTATATATATACACACAACTGTCTATGTAAATATGTACAGCTATGTGTAAATGGACACCAAGGGAGTCCCATAGAAGACACTACTATATCTTTATCACTTGAAACTTTTTTTAGGTATGCCTCAATAGATCTACCTTGTCCATTCTAATAGTTGTATAAGCACCAGTGGAATAAATGGAGGGGCTATAATTTTACTTTTCCAGTTTTTCCTAGATATTTTGGTGGGGGGAAAAGTCTTATACAGGTATTTTGACAAACATTTGTGACATTTACCCTAAGGAAAATTTTGAGTCAATGAGGTTCTACTGAATTAAAAGACATATATTTTTAAAGTAACCAAACAGTATCTAATTACCCTACAGGAACCATGCCAACTGGCATTCTCCAGAAAGGCTGTAAGTGCTCTAGTCTAAAAACAAGGCCTGTCTTCAGATTCTTTGGTCTGGATGACTTTATCAGTGCAGAAGATGCACCTATGATAATCTTGTTTCATGCTTTATGTAGAGGACTTACTTTAACCAAAGCACTATTTTGAGTGCTTGACATTTTACTCTATAGTGTAGACATTAAAAAAAAACAAAAAACAAACAAACAAAAACACCATGAGGAAACTGGGGCACAAAGTTCTGAGTGACTTGCCTATTCAAGGTCATATATCTAGTGGGCCTGGGAGTTAGAAATCAAATCCTCTAACTTCACCAATAATTGAATCACTCCCTCCAAAGAGAAACTTTCATCTATAGTTTTGCTTTTTCGCTATTAAACACAAAATCAAAAATTAAGTAAAATGTCTTACCTTTTGAGCTACAAATCAGGATATCATCTATGATAAGTATGCAGGAACTTCTGGAATCATGGTGGGAGGGCAGCCAGAAATAATAGAGGATGCTCAGTTCTACTCCACAAATAACTTCCTCTTAGGTGGGTTTTGAGTGGGCAGGACTACAGTAAATATCTAGACCTCTGGGCTTCTAAGAGGGAATTTGATGGTGGAAATCATTAGTGGAGCTATTCCACAAAACCTCTCATACTACTGAATGGTCTCAAGGCTCCGGAATATAGGAGAAATAACCACTCCAAGAAATCAAGCAGCCTTACCTTTAGCTGAACCATATCAAGTTCACCTACCTTAAGCCAGACTCTATTGGGCAGCCCCCCTACTCAAAAGCAAGCTCATTTCACAACAGGACCACTATGGCCCCCGTGTGCTTTAGGGCAAAGGGAAATTGGCACATGGTGCACTTCTGAGTGAAGACAAGACGTGGCTTCTTGCCTACTGCCTATAACCACTATAAATGACACCTACCTAGGCTGTGTATCAGGTAAGAACAGGAGTCACCTCCAGTCACCCCACAAAAAAGTTCTAGAGATGCAATGGGTAGGGTAGGTGCTTAAGGGTGTCAAAGATTCTGAGTGCTGGACATTAACTGCTCAGTCTACTAGAACTCTGCATCGGCTTCTGCTTGTCTCCTCCTTTCCTCCTATGCCCCTAAAAAGCAGAGGAACTGTGAATAAAAGCCTTGTCCTACTAATTATTACTTGACATCCCTCAAGCAACCCTATGACAGAACATTAGAAAAACATACCAGGTAGCCCTCTAAGATTTAGATGCTCTAAAAACACTACAACTTCCAGGCTGGGACTGTAGCTCAGCGGCAGAAGCACTGGGTTTGATCCTCAGCACCACATAAAAATAAAACAAATAAAATAAAGGTATGCTGTCCATCTACAACTACAAAAAATTAAAACAAAAAAACAAAAAATTACAACTTCCTTAGACAACAGTTCCATGTTTTCATCTGCTGAACAGAAACTGTCTAAACTCCTTTCCATCAAAACAATCCTCTCTCAAATTCTCATATACTTGCATAAAAATTAAACACAGTCACCAGAGAAAAGTATAATGCTAAAGAATTTGATTCTTAAAAATTTTCTAAATTTTATTTATTTATTTGTTTGTTTGTTTATTACTAGTCTTCTGTTTTGTCATATACCTTGAAGACACTGTCTGGATCCCACTAAAAGCTACTACAGAAAACATTTTTTTCCTCCGATTTGAAGAATGTTGCATGAGGAACATTGATTCTATTACATTTTATTTTGCTGTAAGAAGACTGAAAATCCCTTGAGACCAAGTCTAAGCTATACCCAACCTAATCTCAAAAAAGCAACTGTAGAAATGCAGTATTTATCCGGAGGGGGGCTTTGAATTTAGATTTCAGAATATATTGTTTGCTTAAAAGTGTGCAGTGAAGGTGGAATGTTTCTCTCTAAACCTATGAAAAAGAATAACTTGGTACTTCAATGGGAAAAACAATAGAAGGCCAAGATTTCCCAAAAAAGCCATTGCTGCATTTTTGGCACCTGCAAAGTTGTGCTTGCAAATGAGTTTTTGTTTTAAAGTACCAGTAACCTGCAATTTGGCAGTCCTTCAGTAACATGGCTTGCCCTATTGTTTTTCAGTTTGCAGACTGTCTGCTTCTCACCTTTTCAAGCCAGAACTTCCAAACCCAAGGAAAGCATGTAAAGACAAGGAACCATTGGTATTCAGAACACATGGTCATCCTTATATAGGTCATTGCTGGAGGATTGTGCTATGCATATACTTAAGTCCTGCTTCTCTTTCAAGCCCCATTGCCACTCAAAATCTCCCACATTCTGGCCCACAGTTCCCTATAGTGATAGTTTCAGCCCTACAAGAACCCAGCCACTGGCTTCAGGAAGCCAGGTGCTTCCAGTGAAAAGCCATGTAGCCAAGCCAAGGACAACAGAAGCCCAAATAAATGAAGAATGCATTTAATGTTGCTCAACTCTAAGGAGACATGATTGAAATTTATCTCTGTGTGATAAACACTAAATTGCATTTGTGACAGACATTTTCTATACGAATGCAATTTACTATGTCATTACCAGTTTATGTTTATATAATGAAATCAACTGTTTTTGTGAGGTGAATTACACAGATTTATTTTTTCTAAGTTCATAATTAAAAGGCACTTAAATATTTCCTCTCTGTTTTCTATCTACGTATCATTCAGACAAAGAGTCTTTGGAAAAATAGGCATTTAAACTGTGATCATTTCTGAGACAGGAGAGGTTTTCCAAGAAAAGAGAGGGGAAAAAACAAAACAAAATCTATTTTAAAAAGGAAACTAAAGGTGATGGTACTGAGAAGTTCTTTTTCTTCTGTTTCATAGGCTTATAACACAACCACAGTGTCTACTGGGACCAACACAGGTCAAAAATTTTTCTAAACACAGTAGCAGCAAGAAGGGTGGTTACTGTGCTTGACAAGTTACAGTTAAAGAAGGATTTTACTCTATGAAAGCAGAGAAAGTCTCAGACAGCTTTCTAACTCTTGCTTCCAGGATCTCCATCAGCCCCACCATGAGGGAAATAGCTCCAATTCCATCTTCTATTACTCAGGAGGCAGTGGTACTTTGTTTGTTTAAATTAAAATGAAAACTAACACAATATTATTACTAAAATAATTTATTTTACTTGCCCAGACATGGGGGACTTTGTCTATTACTGTAAAATTAGATGCCAGTAATTATGCACATCCTTAAATGCTATGCTGGGGAACCAGTTCATTACCTGAAACAGCCAAGAAGTCATCAATGGAAGTAATGTCATCAACAGCATCTGTGAGAACACGGACTTGTTTTTCCCACTGTTCTTTAAAAAGATCCATGTTCTCTTGGGCCAGTTTACTCTGTGGTTTTGCTGCTAAAGCCAATGCAGCATTAATAACCTACAAAAAATATTAAAGTTATTTATTTTTCAGAATCATGCAAATGAAACAGATGGGACAATTTGGTCAGTACAGTGGCAACGGCCTTGTCTTACATGAATTTCACTAGGACACATTATACCATATGTTCCACCATAACTATTACAAAGGTGAAGTGGTGAAGTATTAAATAGGTTTTATGTTAAAGTCAAAGTTACACATATTTTGTTCAGAAACTATGTGCAATTTTAAATAAATTAAAAGTACCTCTAATCTCTCCACTCATTCTATAATTCTGACAATAAATTCAGCTTTTTTTCTCCTCACAGTTCACAATGTAGACACATCAAGAACTACATAATGAAAATTATATGCTACATAAAAATGACTATCCTGTTTTTTCAAGTATTTCTTCATGTCATTAAACATATATTGAAAATATTAACTGTTTATTATTCCATCTTATAGGTATACTATATTATTCTTCTACTATAGAGTAGCTTGTTCTAGCTTACTCTCTCACCACCAGTTAATAATCTTGTTATGAAAATCTAACATTTCACGTTGTAGATGCACTATCAAAGTATAGTTCATAAAAATATATTCAATTTCCTTTTTCCTCTGCTTGTCTTTAACAAAGGCATATTTAAAACATAAAAGAACTACCCCGGAGCCGGACACAATGGTGCAGTCCTGTAATGCCAACACCTGGGAAGCTGATGCAGGAGGATTGCAAGATGAGGCCAGACTCAGCAATTTAGCAAGACTCTGTCTCAAATTAAAAAATAAGAAGAACTGGAGATATAGCTCAGTGGTAAAGTGCCCCTGGATTCAATCTCCAGTACAAAAAGAAAAAAAAAGACATAACAACAACAAAAATTACATAGGAAAGTATATAATCTGCTAAGTTAAAAAAATTCTTTAGGACTGAGAAGATAGCTCAGCAGAACATGTACCTAGCATATACAAGGTGCTGGGTTCAATCCCCAGCACTGCACAGTGCACACATGTGTGAACATATTCAATGTTTTATTGAGATATAATTCATGAATCATGGTTTGCCCACTTAAGGAATATAAAATTCAATGATTTTTTAGTATAGTCAGTTATGCAACACTCACCACATTCAATTTTAGAACATTTTTATCACTCCAAAAAGAACCTGTATATACATTTGCAGTAATTCCTTATTTCCCTTCATACTACTTTCTGCCATCTTCTGGCAATCACTAACCTCCTCTCTTGTCTCTATGGATTTGCCTATTCTGGACATTTCATATAAACAGAATTACATAATATGTGGACTTCTATAATTAGTTTCTTTAACAAAATGTTTTGAAAGCTTATTCATGTTTTAGCATGTTGTCAGTACTTCAATTCTTTTCTGACAAGTAATATTCTATGATATATGGATACGTCACATTTATTTATCCATTCATCAAATGAATAATACTTCATGAACATTCATATATATGTGTCAGTTTTCATTTCTCTGGGAATGGAACAGAATTGCTGGATCATATGGTTAAGTTTACCTTTAACCTTTTGAGGAACTGCCTTACTGTTTTCCAAAATGGCTGTACCACTTTATTTTCCCACCAGGATGATGGTTCTAATGCCCCATATCTTTACCACCCCGCCCCTAATTTTAAAGTTAATTATAAAGTGGATATAAAATTACCTCACTTGCATTTCCTTGATGACTAATGGTGTTAGATTTTTTTTTCATGTGCTTATTAACCATTTGTGTATACTCTTTAGGGTATGTCTATTCATATTCTTTCATATATTGAATAATTAAACAATGAGAGCAGTATCAAAATGAACTGAGAATAATTGGACTTCTAGGTACAAGAATACTTATGGATTAATGGAATAAATGTGTTTAAAGTAATGGAACTTAGAAAGAAAGCACAGACAAGAGGAAACTGGTAGAAAGGAATGAAACAGGGATCTGAATAAGGCAGAAAGCTACAGGCAACAGGCATGCAAACCTGAGAACAGAGTTTGGGATGGCTTTTTAAGGTGCTACAGGAAGCATATCACTTCAGATCATATATAGAAGTTCCAATTTATTGCAGGGGCATTTAAGAACCAAGTTATTAACTTGGCTCATAAAAGCTGTAGATGATAACAGACTAAAGAAGAATCAGACCCATTAGACTGGTGCACTACTCCTCTTCCCTCTAAACACTTGGAATGAAGCCATTTGAGCTTATTATTTACTAATGACCCACCCCTTTCAAAAGTGTCTGGGTTTGGACAATAATTTGGAGGAAGAGATAGCCTGCCTTTGCCCATATTATGCTGTGGCCTCCCACATTTTCATCATTCCAAGGCTTATTCTTTCTAGCTTTTCCTTCTTACCCTTCTTTTTTCACTATGGACTACTGTTTTCATTAACTCATTATTTCACTAACATGTCAATGTATCTGAGTTGAGCTAGACGTCATACAAGTATTTAGCTGAAGAAAATGTTTCCTACATGGGCAGAGAATTATGTTTTAAATATAAAGAGATATATCTTCTACTGTATATACTGTACACTGGGGATCCACCTCATCTGAAGTTAACATTCTCCTTTTGATTATAAAACTGCTTATTAAAGATGTTTGGTAAAAATTACTCCTTTCTATTAGGAATAGAAAGATACTTCATTAACATACTATTTTAAGTAATTGTCCAACATGATATGGTCATAAAACTCAAGCACCAATTACCTTAAAAATCAAAATGGTATTAATAAGAATACCTGCTGTCACCATTAGTTAAATAATAAGTAAATGGACTTTCTAGTCAATAAATGAGAAATGGAAATGCCAAAAAAAAGCTGTTAGAAATAGGAGGTGAGAAAATTACTGTTGAACACAGATTTTACCTTTATGTAGCAAACTGAAGTGTATCAATGGAAAAAAAAAACTCTTAGAATTTCTAGAGACAGTATAGATATCTTAAAAATCAACAGCCTTTCTACATTATCAAAAAATAACAAAATATAAAATGAGAAGGAGTGTCAGATCTCCACAAAAGCAATTAATAATGAAATACATGGAATTCAATCTATCAAGAAACCAGCATGACAAAGTAAAAATCAAGTAGCTCAACTTTTCTAAGGTATATTAAACAAACTAAAATAAATGGAAACTCATTCAGGGATAGGAAGACTGACATATTTATCCACAAATTAATATGAAAATAAATGGCTGACAATAGCCAAGAAAATCTTGAGGACAGAAAGCAACAGTAATGAAAAGGGAGTTCAAAAGCATTATAAAACTAAAGTGATCAGAATAGTATCAAAAAAAACAGACACTATCATTGGCAAAGTTTATGTATGATAAAAGTGACATCATAAATCAGTGGGGAACAGGTGCATTATTTTTACATATGATCTTTTATTTTTTAGAGAAAAATAAAATTATGTCTTCACTTAATACTTTATTATCTACTTCATTTATGTGCTGAATCACATACACATATATATCATATGCACTAAGTTCATCATTGCTTATTTCTTTTATGTGCTAAGATTGTTTCCAGATAATGAATTAAACCTAAAAACAACAAAACTATATAAATTTATTTATTAATATTTAAACATATATTTGTCTTTAGGAAATTCTCTATTTCTAAGTTACAATGGGATCCGTCAATATATAATTCTGATTGAGTTATGCATTTAAACATATATGTCAGATTAAATATACAGATAAGTCAGTACGAAGAACACCAAAATACCAGTAAAAAAACAAGGAGAGACATGGACTGCATTCTAATGTGAAGTAGTAATGACTAGGAAACATCTGGGGGTCTGAGGGAAAGAAATACAAATTTGCAAAGGGTATAAAACTAGGCACAAATGTCTGTATTGGTGTCAATTTTCAAAACACAGCTACTGGTAGAACTCCCAGTACAATGTTTTACAACTGACAAGGGTGAATATCCTTGTCTTTTTTCTGATCATAAAGTTAAGCACCCAGTCTTTTTTAAAATATTTTTTAGTTGTGGATGAACACAATATCTTTATTTATTTATGTGGTGCCGAGGATGGAACCCAGGGCTTCACATGTGCAAGGCAAGCCCTCTACCACTGAGCCACAACCCCAGCCCAAGTACCCAGTCTTAGACTATTAAATTTGAAGTTGTAGATCAAAATCTATCAATTTTTCATAGATATCCTTTAACAGGCTGAGGAATTTCTCTTCCATTCCTTGTTTGCCTTCAGAATAGAGAGATTAGAGGTATCTTTATTTTATAACTTGATAGTTTCTAAATAAAATATGTATTACTTCTATTTCTTCTATGTCTCCCTTGCTATCTTGACTTCTTTCAACAGGTAGTGTTGGAGTTCCTGGACTGGCTTTTCTCTTTTTTCTACACTCCTCCCATCTTAAGCAATTTTATCTAGTCTCATGATTTTAAATACCACCCATATGCCAAGTATTCCCCTATCTCCCACTTAGACCAATCATTGCAATTCCCAATTCATATCCCAAGTATATCCTAATATTTCTGCCTATATAGCATAGATATTTCAAACTGAACATGTGCAAAATAAAACTCATGGTTTTCTGCATTTAACCATGCTAAATGGGTTTCACTTTAAAATTCTTCATCATTCAACTTCAAGTGGACTCAAACATGGAGAAGCAAGAGAACTACATTTACTTAGTCTGGTTATTCTCCCCATCTCCTCATGCCTGGACTCTAAATGAGTAATTGTTTCATACCTTCCCTTCAATCCTACAAACACCTCCTTGAAGCATAAATCCATGGGTAAGGCTAGGTCAGGTGTAGCTCACAGAAGATTAAGACTTACTACCCTCAAAGATTTTCAAAGCTTTAGGCTATCAATCGTTCAATACTGAGACTAGTAATTTGAATTGCTGACAGATCTTTCAGAATAATGAAAGGATCTGTCAATAATGGGCTAGAGTCACAGCTTCCTCACTGAAAATCAAATGACCCATCCTGTTCAGTTTGCCATTACCAAAACTGTGAACACCCACTGAACCTGCCTCAGCCCTAAGTGCATGGCAGTTTGTGAACAAGGGCAGGAACAGGCCTAGTAAGAATCTGGAAAACAATCACATCTGGAGAACATCTTTTTATCCAGATCATATACCCAATACCAAGTGTTTTCTGGACACAGTTTAAAGCCCATTCCTCCTGATGCCTGGTTTAGTAGAAGACATGAAAACTGCAAAAAGAGGGAGAAATGAGGCTTTCTGGCAGCAAAGTAAAAACGGCACATGGGCTAGTCACACACGGTTTATGGACACTAGCATTTTCATTAGGATATACTAGACACTTCATGTGATTTTTTTTCCCCCTAAACTTTAAGATCATTTATATAAATACTCTTGGTAGGTGTGATCAGCGTTATGTTACCATCTGTTTCTGCAGATATGTGGAAGCATTGTCACTTTTCACGCATTTCAAAACCAAACGGAGAACCCAAAGATATTAAAAACAAAATGTTGATAGGGTAAAATGGCAAATTTGAAGAAAGAATGCCCAATCTTTAGAAATCCAATCTAAATTTATTTCATACAACTTGGTGGTGATTAACACCACTGCACTTATTATCTGTACAGTATCAATCACTGGCATATTTCATGACTGGATTAAAGCTATGGAAAGCCAGACATCACACTAAGACAAAAAAAAAAAAATCATTGGAAAACTAACCATCTTGGGTTCAAGCGAATATTTATTTATAGGAAAGAGTCAAAGTAATAGTGTCATTTCTATGATCACTGTCTTATTACTCCAGTTCCTCTGCTTATTCCCATTTGTTAGTGATCACTGCCAGCTGGCAGGACATGCAGTGAGAGGTTAATGTAAATCCTCAGAGTGTGCCATGAACATTCTCTACTTGAGAAAAAGGGAAGGCAACCACTTCCACTGAAACACTTATACTGCTTAGAAATCTGAATGACAGGAATCACACAGACAAGGTGAGCTCTATCATGGGAAACAGGCAACACACTGGGTACTTAATAAAACATTTGTGCCATGCCTGGTGGAGCTCACCTATAATCTCAACAACTCAGAAGGCTGAGGCAGAAGGATTCAAGTCTCAAAGCTAGCCTTGGAAACCTATCAAGACTCTCAAAATGAAAAATAGGGATGTGGGAGAGAGCTGAGTAGTACAGCACCCCTGGGTTCAATGCCCAGTAACACATAAACACACAAAGCATTCAATGCTCTATGTTCTTCAGTCTTTCTAAAGTGCCACATGCTTAGCCTAATTACCTGTCTTCCAATATGCCTTTATGAATGTAGAAAAGTTCTTGATCTTTTATTTTAGGGGCTAGCTGAATTAAATTGTATCATAGGCTGCTTTAAGACATTTAGTGCAAGAAGACAAGCTTTCCAATGTGGTTTCCTTCAATAGATATTGAATGCAGGTGAACGAACAACTGTTACCACTTAAGGATAAGAGGAACCATTATGGTTCCAGTTTGATGTTGCAGGTGCCCCCACCCCCCATTCCTGCTGAAAAGGTAATCAACTGAGCAGTGTAATCACTCTCCAGAAATTGAGGACACTATGCATATATTTACTTATGTAGATGTGTGTATTTTCCACCACTTAATGCCGGGGCCTTCTTTGCATGTACTAGATAAGCATGTGAGTCCAACAAGACTATGCATTTTTAATGTAGGGCAAGGAGGTAGTAATGCCAAGAGGAAACACTTAAACATAAACGTCTCCAATCTATATAGCATTTATGCCAGTGACTCAACTCCAAGACTTCTATTTAAAATTCTAGGAGTGAGGGTAGAAAGAAAGAAGAAAGGGGAAGAGAAGGAGAAGGAAAAGGAAAAGAAAGACCTTAAACTTCATTTCCATTCTAATAAAATCCAATTTGGTGACATCATAACCATTTCCAGCTGTACTTTACCTGAGGACAGAGGGCTTCTAACTGGCTTGCAGACATTCGAACAAGCTTTACTCCTTCTTCATTGTTTGAGATGGAACAGGCCAAGTTGGCAACCTGAAAGTGGGGAAAACACACAAAGATCTCTGAGGATTTTTCTCTTTTGACTTCTTAAGAAAATAGGCATACACCTATCCCTACTCCCAAATTTCCCAAAAGAGATGACACGAATATCAATGAGGCTTTACTTCTCACAGATTATGTGCTTTTGAGGACATATTTGAAGATTCTGTACTAAGCAAACTATATACACTCAAAACAGATATCACATCATGAGTTGGTGGCCAAACTTTGAAAGATCCCAGAGCAAATAATTTACAGGTTTTAAGGGGGCTTGTTTAACCTGCCTGAACAGTAACTTCAGAAAGTGGCTCTCTGCTATAGTCAATAATGTGGGAAAAAATGAGGAATCAAGGGCATTAAGAAGGAAATACTAGTATACACAAGTAAAGATGAATTTTGCAACTGTTTTTGAAGGAAGCAAATCAAAATTCTAAACTACCATTCTCATTTGATAGGTGTATATAAGTGCTGACTTTAAGCCAAGATAGTTTTTATTTGAACAAAAGTCTTTTTATTCAAATTTTAAAATGTCGTGAAGACATCAAGATGGGCCCAAGGGAACATAGAATATTCCAGATAAGCACAAAACTGTCCTTCAACTGGGTTCTCAAAAACATTAACAGCTGGACCCCTTCCTGGATGATAAGTGCTTAATGAAAATCTTTACCTTTCTACCAAATTATCTCAATGATCTAGCTTATATAGCCAGAAATTATCTTTCCAAGTTGTGTTTAGCTTTACTAAAGCTCTGACTGTGTTGAGAATGTTGCTCTGTTGTGACTGCTAAGGCAGTGATCACTCATCCACATTTCTAAATGAATAGGCTTGCCAATTCCATTAGCAATGCCAGGGCCCAACTGAATATACAGTCTGAGACACATCTTTACCCCAGGTGCAAACTGAGTTATGAATGATAAAGGCGTAGGCAGTGGAATATCAGAGGCACTTTCCAGAATCTAAATGCTAGAGTAAACAAGGGCAATGGCAATAACCTTTGATTTTTCACTCCTCCACCCAACTTAAGTACATAAACACACAAGAAAAATTATACACTCTTATGGCTGATGTTTGCAGTGTTACAGTTAAGGATTACCAGCTTTCTATAAGACTGGTAACTATCAGAATCCTGAAATACCTAATAATAAGAAGAAACAAAAGAAGTAACATGCAATTTAAGCATAAAATGTGAAGAAATTAGAAAATCAGATTTCTAATGATTATGGGGCCTTCAAAATCAGATAAAGAAGTAACATTTATACTCCCCAAATCTTACAACTTTACCTTCTGCTGTCAACTGGACCTGAGCAAAGAGGGATTTCTCTTTAGGATAATAATCTACAGAGATAATTGTAGGTTTTTCTACAATTATCACTGCCAAATATAATCTAAGCTCTATTTTGTAAAACGTAAGAAAAAAATTATCCCCAAAATGCATATTTTATGATTCTACATGAAAGGAGAAATCTTAAATTAGATGTATACATGAAGAATCTACAACTTCTATTGCTTTACTGCCTTAAGAAGGCATTCTGAAAAAAGAAAAGAAAGGTAGGTTGGTTGATGCCAACCACAGAAGTATTAATTGTAGATTAACAAAGCTTCCTGGTAAGGGGAGTGTAGGAATGCCCAGCAGCCCTGCCCATTCCCATCTTTCAGGAGGCTAGCACGACAGCAGACTTTAGGACCTTCCTTCACTGTGATCCTGCCTTCTACTTTCTAGTCATCAATACAATTTATATTCTCTCAATTCTGTGAATCCTTAAAACTCAAGGGAAAAAAACTTAATAAGCAAAAGACTGCATTCGTATTTTCAACCACAAATCAGACACGTGAGGGTGTTGTATGGCTAAGGATGAAATGGCTAAAAATCTTTAAACCATCTCTTCTCTTTACTGATAACAAATCCTAACAAAACAAAAGTTATGGAAGACCTGTTCTTTATTTTAAAACATTACTTAAAAATGTTTCTGATATACCGTTGAAGGAGTAATGATCTACAAGAGTACACTGCCTATTTCAGAAGCCTGGGAGGAGGAAGAGGTGCCTGTCACTGACAGTCTTCTCTGGATGAATGAGCTTCAATTCACCCTCCAGGGACAGGGCTACTCCTAACAATGACGAATGTGCAAATACAGTCTTGACCATAGCTCTCTGGGAGGCTAATCACATACAGTGAAAGGAGGGAGTGAAGGAAGGGGTTTCCTAAATGCCTTCCTGTAGAAAAAATCTGGGGCTCTAGAAAACTGGGATAGCAGTAAATACTGGGACTAAAGAAGAGTCTGCACTCTGAATGAAAAGCACTTGCAGCACCTAACTTCAATAGTAAACTGAGCAAAGTCAGACTTTGCAGAGCAACAAGAAATTAACTCTAGACTTGTTCTCAGAATAAATAATTCTATCTTTGCTGCCAAAGTAACCTGTGTATTAGGAACTTGAATGTGTGTGATTCTTATTAATCCAAGAGGTATGCTATAACTGACACTATGATCACTGGCTTTGAGATCACAGAGTCTTCTCTTTCTGACTTCCACCTCCTTTAAGAATGGATCTTGTTGAAGAGCACAAGGTTTCAGAAAACTTGGAAACCCCTGATAAAATACAATCAGCCTTAAGTTTTGCTGGTTTGAGCTATTGAAGAAAAGACTATAAAAGCCAAGCTGTGTTAGATCAACAAATATGACATCTGTATAAAGCTGGAAAGCACTACCTTTGCTCCAATGGATTATCTGTACTCAAAATAATATTAAGTATTTTGTGTCCTTTACCATACCTAGGGAACATGATTTACTTAAACAAAGATAAGTTGTTTTCTACTGTGTTCAGTAAGTGCTCCTGGTTTTGTATTTGGCTGAGTTACTCAGTTGCCCCTCACCCTAGAACCTTTGTAGGAAGACAAGACAACATTTCTTTTTGTGCTCCTCTCCTAATGGCTTACTCCTGTTGTAGGAATGAAACAAGTGGGAAGATCTATGGAACAGGAGTTACAAAGTATATATAGTGATACCACAATCTAGGTAGTAGATACAGGGGTGAACCTACCACCCCAGTTCTCCTTTAAAATGGCCTGAATTTTCCAGTCAAAAGTAACAATGATATCAATAATTCAACTTTACCAAATTTTTCATACATAAACAAGAAGTCCCAACTGCAAGTCATATAAATTTCAAAGCCACTCAAGAAGTTTCTAACAATTATTCCCAAAGTCATAGGGGGAAATGATGAAAAGAGGCTAGCTAAATCTCCAACTTTCCAATTTCTAGAAAAGGCTGTTGGCAATCTTCCTTGGAAGAAAAAAGATATCTTACTAAAAATGAAGTATGCATGATGTCAGAAAAAGCTCTAAAATGGGATTTTAGAGATTGAGGGATTTTGTGGAATATAAATTATATTTCAATAATGTTAACAATACTCCATTTTTAAATATAGGGCTAAGCAGGCAAAAAATAAATAGAAATTACCAGAGATTAGAAACATGAAAGCAGAGATTCAGAGAGGTAAGTAAGCATTGAAAACAGTGTTAACCTTGGGAGAGGATAGGGTGAAGTAGTACCAATCCATGATCAGAACTTGGGTTTTTAATAGAGCAATGCCAGGAAAGGTCCCTGAGATCAGAAACTTCACCTAAAGTTAGAACACCCAAAAGGCAACCACCTTAATGGAAAGTGAATTAAGGAAAAAAAGTCACCATGAAGAAGAAAATAAATACTTGCTAATCAGCATTCACTCAAGGGAGAAGAAAAAGCCCCCAACTAAAATTCTAACCAAAAATTAGCTCTCCACAGGGGTATAGGTATAGAAATTATGTTATTTATATGGCAAGCAAAATTTTGGGGTTTAGTACCTTAAGCAATTGGCCAAAGCAAATATAAATGGAAAATTTCTCTCATAAGGAAATCTAGACCCAAGTCTCAAAAGGACTTCCACATACAAAATGTCAGGAATGTGAATTCCCAATAAACACAGAAAGTACACAAGGTAATAACCATCTTGGGCAAAAATAAGCAAAACAACCCTTTATATAAAATGATCCATAATGAATGCAGACACTCAAATAATCAAAAATGAAATATACTTCTTCTATTAAGAGGGAAAATAGCATACATGAGGAAAAAGACATCTAAACATAACTACACAGACTTGAAAAAGACCAAAACAGAACTTCAAGAAAAAGTAGCAACTTGTATCACTTCTATAAATATAAAAACTTGACTAAACACTGCTTAAAAGAGAAATATTTATCTGGAAAGTCAAACTAAAGAAATCATTTGTAAGGAAATTAAGAAATTTTCACAATATAGAAAATGTGGAAACCACAAAAGAGGAGATATGAAACAGAGATGATGCACTATTGCATTACTAAAAATTTCAAAAGAAAAAAAATACTGGGATACAAGATACTGTAAGAAAAAAAATGACTGAACATTTTTCAGACAGAATGAAATATAACTTCCAGACTTGGGAAGTCAAATTCTAAACAGGACAAATAAAAATAAACCATACTTAAACATGCTAAAGTGAAGCTTTAGAACAACAATAAACAAATCAATCAATCCAAGGGCATTTACTCCTAACAGATCTTTCTCTCCTACTAAAGAAGTTCCTAAAGAACATACTTCAAGGAGGTAAGAGATCCCAGAAGAGGGTTTAATATTCAAGAAGAAATGGGAGACAATAAAAAGCTATCAGGAGGCTGGGGTTGTAGCTCAGTGCTAGAGCGCTTGCCTAGCATGTGTGAGGCGGTGGGTTCAATCCTCAGCACCACATAAAAATAAAATAAAGGTATTATGTCCATCTACAACTGAAAAAAAAATATGATGAGCAGAATTACATAAAGGCGCCCCCAAAGGAAATAATCAACAGTCTAACTCATGCGCTAAAAATTAAATAAAAGAACCAAAATAGCATACAACAATATTTAAGTTAGAGAGTGAGTGCATTCTAAAATTCTTATACTGCTTCAGAAGAAAGAAAAGATAGAAATTAACCCACCCTGT